CACTACATGTTATACATGTTTGATAATTAATGCATTCAGTAACATTTATGGATAAACATAATCACAAATTTTGACAAGTTTTATAGACTTCATTGGTTCATGATTAGTTCAGGCTTTTAATCAGAGATGTAAAGTTTTTTGCCAGCAGCCATATCACCCTGTAGCCCAAGACTGGTTGCCCATTAAAGCTAAGCAGGGCTGAGCCTGGTTAGTACCTGGATGGGAGACCTTCTGAGAAAGCCAGGTTGCTGCTGGTAGAGGTGTTAGTGAGGCCAGCAGGGGGTGCTCACCCTGTGGTCTGTGTGGGTCCTAACGCCCCAGTAAAGTGATGGGGACACTATGCTGTCAAAAAGAGCACCGTCCTTCGGATGAGACGTTAAACCGAGGTCTTGACTCTCTGTGGTCATAAAAAATCCCAGGATGTCTTTCGAAAGAGTAGGGGTGTAACTCCGGCATCCTGGCCAAATTTGCCCAGTAGCCTCTGTCCATCATGGCCTCCTAATCATCCCCATATACACCAATTGGCTTCATCACTGTCTCCTCTCCACCAGTAAGCTGGTGTGTGGTGAGTGTTCTGGCGCAATATGGCTGCCGTCGCATCATCCAGGTGGATGCTGCACATTGGTGGTGGTTGAGGAAATCCCCCCCCCCCTCTCTATGTGAAGCGCTTTGAGTGTCCAGAAAAGCGCTATATAAATGTAACGAATTATTATTATTATTATTAAAGTCCAGGGTCAGAAAGTAAAAGTCCTGCCATTTGTTTATTCCACTAATTAGTTCTCTCTCCGGCTGGAAAACTGATCATTAGCAAATCCAGCTGATTGAACAAAATACTGAGGAGGACTTTTACTTTCTGAACCTGGACTTTACACCTCTGCTTTTAATTATCATTAGATCATGTTGAATTAAGTATTAATTCAGGTATTAGTACACTGTAAAAATGAAAATGACTGAATCTGTTAAATCTAATCAATAAAATTGAGGCAACAGATTACAATCAATATTATTAATTAAATTTAACCATTTAGAATGGAGTAATAATTAACCAAACAAATTAATTAAAAGTTAACCATTTAAATTGAGTAAAATTTACACATTTTTCTAAACAAAAATATCAGAATAACAGACTGACGTCAAAGATGAATTAAGACCTCTTTTTTTTTTCATTGCCATCATTAAAGACACCTGATGATAACAAGCAGAATCACAGAAGAAGAAAACAAGATTTTTAAGTCACCATTATAGAGATCAGTCTGTGTTTTAGTTGGGCTCTTGACCCTTAAACTGTTAACTTTAGATGTTGTTTGGCTGTTATACATGAATTATAATAGCCTGATGAACAAATAGAAAAGGTGATCTGATGGTGTTGGTTATGTTTTACCATAATCATTATTTCACAATCATTTGACCTGATCTATGAACTCACATAGAGTTCAGTTTAGGTTTACTTAATTAATTGTATAACAGCAATGTCCTTGAACAGTATAATATTTTTATGATTTTTACAAGGTAATCCATATATTTTTTATAACGTATATCAAATACAAAAAAAAACAACTTTGCTCTGATTTAGTTTTTGATTTAGACACACAGAGATCTAAAATTAGCCTGTGAATCTCAACAATGGTGACAATAATGGCGCTTGTTGCATTGCATTCTGGGTGCCACCAATCAAAACTCATTCATGGCTCCCATCATGCATTGCTGCATGAATAAATAATGAGCTTATGATCAGAGGTGATCTGTTTGTCACCATTGTTGAGATTAATATGCAAATTATTGATGTCTGTTTGTGCCTCCATGAAATAACTTCTGAAGTTATCTTTTTATTGTTTTGATCATTTAGTTTCATTGAAAATGCTAAAAATATGATGCTGTCCAAGGCCAATAATGTTATAATTACTAAAATAAACCTTAGTCAGAAACTGGGCTCTATGTGAGTACAGTGATTTAAGTCAAATAATTGTGAAATATTGATTATGTTAAAACACAACCAACACAATCAGATCACGTTTCCTATTTGTTCGTCAGGCTATTATAATTCATATATAACAGCCAAACAACATCCAAAGTTAACAGTTTAAGGGACAAGAGCCCAACTAAAACACACACTGATCTCTATAATGGTGACTTCAAAATCTCGGTTTTCTTCTTCGGTGATTCTGCTTGTTATCATCAGGTGTCTTCAATGATGGCAATGAAAAAAAAAGAGATCTTACGTAAATCATCTTTGACGTCAGTCTGTTATTCCGATATTTTAGTTTAAAAAAATGTGTAAATTTTACTCAATTTAAATGGTTAACTTTTAATTAATTTGTTTGGTTAATTATTACTCCATTCTAATTTGTTAAATTTAATTAATAATATTGAGTGTAATCTGTTGCCTCAATTTTATTGATTAGATTTAACAGATTCAGTCATTTTCTTTTTTACAGTGTACATGATTATTCATATACCCGTATTGTAAAGTGTTACCGGAAAAATACTGTATGATTGTAATCATCTGCTTGTTATGCTGGTATGGTTTATGGTTTAATTTATTAATAAATATCATAATGATCACTGAGATCTACTGTGTTTCAGGCACCAGTGGAGTGGATGATCATGTGTTCATCAGTTCTGGTGTAGATGTCCGTCTGTCCTGTAATAATGCTCTTTCTGGCTGCAAATCAACTACATGGACCTACAGCAGATTCAGTCATTCAGCAACAGTTGAACTGATTAAATTAGGGATAAAGAATGAAAACACAGAGAGACATGAGAGACTGAGTCTGGAGTCTGACTGCTCTCTGAACATCAAGAACGTCACAGAAGAAGATTATGGATCTTACATCTGCAGACAATATGTGAACGGACGACAAGGATCTGATGCACGTGTTTATCTGCATGTTCTTCATGGTAAGTTTATGATTATTTGGTCAGTTTAAAAAGGGAAGATTCTTTATTAAACTCAGATGATGATTGAAGAGTCTGTGATTTGTGTCTTGTGTTCAGTTTCAGTGTCTCCATCATCATCATCATCATCTTCATCCTCACAGACTGAGATCAGTCCAGGCCGCTCTGTGACTCTCTCCTGTCAGTTGTATTCATATACTGGATACTCCTGTGATAATCGGGTTCGTTATGAGGGATTTGAGCTGTTGTGGGTGAATCAGGCTGGTGTTGATCTGAAGACAGACTCCAGATATCAGATATCATCATCATCATCAGATCAGTATCGCTGTATTATCACTCTGACTACAACACTCCTGGATGAAGATAACAACAGAGAGTGGAGATGTCAGCTTACTCACAGAAATCAACTCCAGGCCTCAGTCACATACACTGTCAAGTATTCAGGTGAGAAACACTGTTAGAAGACAGATTTGAGAAAACTTCCACAGACTGGCTCTACTCTTGATGATGACTTCATACGTTTGGAAATTGTAAAATATTAGAGGACATCAGTAAGTCACACTGCATAGAAATCCTTATAATTCCCAATATTAACCTCCTACATGGGTCATCCATGAAATATTGCATAAATCTATTAAAGCCTAGTATGACCCATGTAGGAGTTCAGCTTTAGGAGTTATACGGCTTAAAGGATTAGTTTACTTTTGAAAAAACTTTTGCTGATAATTTACTCACCCCCATGTCATCCAAGATGTCCATGTCTTTCTTTCCTCAGTCGAAAAGAAATTTAGGTTTTTGATGAAAACATTCCAGGATTTTTCTCCATATAATGGACTTCAATGGGAACCGGATGGTTCAAGGTCCAAAAGATAGTGTTAATAACAGTTTCAGATGCAGCTTCAAATGTCTTTAAACGACACCAGACGATGAATAAGGGTCTTATCATGTGAAACGATCGGTTATTTCAAAGCTTATTCCAAAAATGTAACTTTTCTAAGGACAAATGCTAGCCTTGTAATATACTGTGAGGCGCGTTTGTAACGTCACATAATACGTAATTACGTTCAAAAGGTCACGGGCGACGTAGCCGGAAGTACAGAATCAAAATCGTCCGACATCGTTGTTTTACCTTTTAATTCCTTTTTTGTAAACGGCGTTTGAGTTAGTTTGCATGTTCAACCTATGCGTTCAACTTGTAAACACTCGGACTCTGTACTTCTGGCTACGTCGCCCGTGACCTTTTGAACGTAATTACGTAATACGTGACGTTACAAACGCGCCTCACAGAATAGAGCAAGGCTAGCATTTGTCCTTAGAAAAGTTACATTTTTGGAATAAGTTTTGAAATAAGCGATCGTTTCGCATGATAAGACCCTTATTCATCGTCTGGTGTCGTTTAAAGACATTTGAAGCTGCATCTGAAACTGTTATTAACTGTCTTTTGGACCTTGAACCATCCGGTTCCCATTGAAGTCCATTATATGGAGAAAAATCCTGGAATGTTTTCAACAAAAACCTAAATTTCTTTTCGACTGAGGAAAGAAAGACATGGACATCTTGGATGACATGGAGGTGAGTAAATTATCAGCAAAAGTTTTTTCAAAAGTGAACTAATCCTTTAATAATGTCCTTCATTCAGGAAAGCTGAAGGTTTATGGGAAGCAGCTCAACTGTGTTTCACTCTCATGCAAACCAGGAATAAATGATCCAGTAACATCTCTCTTCTCAACTACTGATACTGTAAGCTGTGATGATTGAACACAAACTGCATGTCATGATCAATGTGAAGATATGATGTTAATGTCCTACAGGTGATGTGTGTGAACATTCATCTTCTGCAGCTCCAGTCTCTTCAACAACACTGACTCCAGTCAGCAGATCAAACTCTGAGAAGACATCAAGCAGAACTACAGAGACAACTCCTACACAAGGTTCATGATCACATGACCACTGACACACATCATCACTCTCGCTTCAGTGGTTTGATCACACCACAGTAAAATCAGCCGGATAATTACATCAATTCAGTATTGAAACCTCAAAGGATTTATTGTGTTTATGGATTAAAATATGACATATTTCTATTTCCATCTTGTTTTTAATAGTTGTGACTTCAACTACATCAACTACAGTAACAACACGTCCCACAACAACCTCTCCGAATCCAGGTGTGTATGAACATCATCCTCATCATCCAGAGAATCAGTTTCTGATCACACATCATCACTCTCGCTTCAGTGGTTTGATCACACCACAGTAAAATCAGCCGGATAATTACATCAATTCAGTATTGAAACCTCAAAGGATATATTGTGTTCATGCATTAAAATATGACATATTTCTATTTCCATCTTGTTTTCTAATAGTTGTGACTACAACTACATCTACTACAGTAACAACACGTCCCACAGTAACTGCTGGATTATTATACAGAGGTACGACACGTTGATTTAGACGGGCCGCTTTCTAACATTACACTATCAGTCCGTCTGTAAATGCTTCATCAATAACTGTTGATAGATGAAGACCCTTGACTTCAGTCATGTCCAGTTTCTCTTCTTCCTCTCATGTTTCCTGCAGTGATTGTGAGTATTGTTGAGATGGCAGTGTTTGCTGCTCCTACTGTGATTCTTCTTCAGATCATCTGTGCAAGAAGAGCTGGTGAGTTTGAGCCGCACACACTCTGAAGATTCACACTCGTCTGATCTGAACATCTGCAATCATGATAAACACACACCAGAGGTCAGGCAATGCTTTTATTTTGCAGGGAGGAAGGATTCGAGACACCCGGAGGAAATAGAGATGCCTGCAATACAACAATAAAAACTGGTGAGTTGTGAGCAAATCTGCAACAATATTTACAAAAGCAAAAACTGAGTTTTTTTTTTTTTTATTCTTCTCAGATAAAAAACTCTTCCTCCATTTCTCCACGTCTGTCGCCATGGTTACTGTGGTTGTCTGAGCAGAAACTGAGGGTAACGTGGATATGACGCCATTGACTGGAAACTCCCTCAGCCCTGCTCACACGCCCCGTTTCCTTGGTTACCATCGCAATTTTCTCGTTTTTGGATATTTTACTGCAAAAATCCCACATATTGTACCTTTAAGTCACCATTATAGTGATCAGTGTTTAAGTTGGGCTCATGAGATTTTAATGTACCTTTGTTTTAACAGTTCCCAGGAGAGTTATTTTAACACTGGAGTTTTTGCTGTGTAAATATAGATGAAGTGTGATCATGATGTCAACAACACTTCTGGGGGTTGTGCATTTGTGGTTGTCATAACAACTTCATATTCATATTCAAGACATATTCAACTTACTTCATATTCAAGACATATGTCATGTCATGGTTATGAAGGTGTCATGTCAGTTACAAAAGTGTTACCGAACATTTTTACTTAGTTCCAGAAACAATTAATTATTCGTGAATTATTCGTCAATCATTACTTAAAGTAAAAAAATATATATATATATAATAAAAAAAACCTAATGAGACAGATCTCTGAAAAACAATGAACGAGTTCAAATTAATTTCAGATTCATGTCTCTGTTAAAAGTGTTACGGCCTGAAGAAGAGGCCGTATGTAAATTATGATGTCTATGTAAATTACACCACAGTGAAAAATTCTTTCCACACACAGAACATGAATGCGGCTTCTCCTTCGTATGAATTCTCAGGTGTTTCTTCAGCTCTAATGCTCTAAGAAATGTTTTGCTGCACTGATCACATGAGAACGGCTTCTCTCCGGTGTGGATCCTCATGTGTCTTTTAAGGTTTTCTGATAGGGTGAAACTCTTCCCACATTTATAGGCATACATGCGGCTTCTCTCCAGTGTGGATTGTCATGTGATGCTCAAGATTTTGTTTGGTTGTGAGACTCTTTCCACACTGAGTGCAGGTGAAAGGTTTTTCTCCAGGTTGGACATGATGTTCCTCCTCCACTTCACTCAGTTCTTCTCTCTCCTCGCTCTCTTCCATCAGGTCTGAAATTAAAGAGAAAATATATTTTTTTAAAAAAATTTTTTCACCTCGCTCTGCTACTCCAATTATCTCTGTATGTACATTTTAGGCAATAATAAAACAAAATATGTTATAAAACACCACTCTGCTTCTTTTTGATTTCATTTAAATACATTTTAAACATTATAAGCACACAACTGTGGTTCAGGCAATGCATCGCCTATTGATTATTTTCACTGCATGTAGGGCTTGGCGATATATCACACGATATTGTTATGCGAATCTAATCAGTAAAGCCGGTTCCTTGATTTGCATTAAATCACCTTCACCTGCTTTCAGATGGAGATATGAGTGTTAAATTAACACTCAAGAGTGTTAAAGTTAATGAGATAATTAAGTGATTAATTTAGTGATGATTGAGCATTATTGAAGACACCTGATGATAACAAGCAGAATCACCGAAGGAGAAAATCACAAATTGTAAGCCACCATTATGGAGATCAGTGTTTGCTTAAATTTTGTTTGTCTGCTAATATTAATAACAGTCAAATGAACATAGAAAAGTGTGATCTCATAGTGTTGGTTATGTTACGACATAATCATGCTATGATCTGAAAAATGAAACTTGTTCAGATGATTTGGTTTAACTTGTTAGCAATAGTTTAGTGGTTCTACAGCACACGATAATCTGTATTTTTCTTAGAATCCAAAACATTTAATAAAAAAAAGTTCTGATCAAATCACTTTCATCTTTATTTAGAGACACAGACATCAATAATCAGCATGTGAATCTCAACCATGGTGACAATAATAACCATTGTTGCCACCAATCACAACTCATTAATGGCTCCCATCATGCATTGCAGTATGAATAAGTTATGATCTGAATTGTCTATGTAATTTACTTTTCCTAATTGAATATTCTGCTAGTCACCATTGTTGAGATGCATTGAGTGAATCTTGAGCTCTGTGTGTGCCTAAAAGAAAGATTAATCACTTAATTAACTCATTAACTTTAACACTCTTGAGTGTGGACTCATATACACTCCCAGGTCATGGGAGATATTGTCGTGACGAAGAGCCGTAGTTAACTGACAAGCTGAGCCATATCGCATGAATTATCATTGGCGATACGTCCTCGATATTAAAGCGATTTGGCTCAGCTTGTCAGTGAACTACGGCTCTTTGTAGTAAATGCCACTCCATCTGAAAGCATGTGAAGGTGATTTACTACTAATCAAGGAACCGGCTTTACTGATGAGATGCGCATAACAATATCGTGCGATATATCGCCCAGCCCTAGCCCGAACCCCGCCCACGACATTTTTTTGATCGGGACTCTGGAAGTTCAGTCTGGAGGTAAATTGTCTATTATCAATTTTAACAGTAGAAGTTTGTACACACATTTCAATGCAATATGTGAATATTTACAAAACTTTATTGATCCCTTCAGTGTGATAGCCATATTGGAAACTTGATTCAATCAAAAGAAAGGAATTGACTTTGAGATGGATGATTATGAATTGCATGACATATGGGTCGCGCTATATGTGCACAAGACTATACAGCATTCGGTTCAAAATAATAAATAATTTGTAGGCTACTTGATAATGTAATGGAATGTATAACAAAAGAAATCAATAATGGAATGAAAAAAAAACTCATTATGAGTTGTTGTTACAGTGTCTGGTTTGAGTTTCCTTGAGTGTCCACTAGAGGTCTCTTTCCCCACACTGTCACCAGTCACTCTGAGCTAATGATGAGTGATGAGAACAGACACAGGATTGTGGGAAATGCAGTTCCAGAGTGACTGGTGACAGTCTAGGGTAAGAGACCTCTAGTGGACACTCAAGGAAACTCAAACCAGACCCTGTGACAGTTGTGTTTATAGATCACCTGGATCAAACATTGATACTTTTAATGGAGAGATGGAGAATCTGTTAACAATAAATCATTATTCATATGTGGGGATTTCAACATTGACCTCTTAAACCCAAACAAACACAAACTGACCGATGAATTCATTGAACGAATGCACTCCATGTCCTTAATCCCAACAATAACAAAACCCAGTATCACATCTCACAGTGCAACCTTAATTGATGACATCTTTACAAATAACTTGACTAATAACTTAATTAATGGCTTGCTTATTTGTGATATAACGGACCACTGTTTTTGCCATATATGACTGTAATGTTTCTAAAACTAAAGAAATAAAGTTATTTTAAAAATGGAAATCAACACCACTTTACCAATTATAGACCAATTTCACTGCTCCCTCAATTCTCAAAAATCCTAGAATTACGCGATTAGAAAAATTAGTTGATTAATGAAAGTCAGAAATAAAAGATCTACACACAATTTAGTTGATGCAATAGAAGCACTGGACAATAAAAAATGTATCATTGGAATATTTATTGATTTGAAAAAAGGCTTTGACACTATCAATCACGCAATATTACTCAAGAAACTAGAAAGGTGTGGGATACGAGGGGTGGCTGGAAACTAAGTGACAGAATGCAGTATGTGCAGATGGTGAGTTCTCATCGAGGATCATTTCTTGTGGTGTCCCCCAGGGGTCGATACTGGGCCCTAAATTATTCAACTTGTACATTGATATATTTATGTTTCAAAATTACTGAACAAAAAAATAATGTATTCATAGGCTGTGTAGGTATTCGGATTACCATTGTGGATATTACTTTAGCTACTTACCTGTTGTAATATATGGTGTGTATTTAAGAGATACCGTGTTTTTTTTTTCTTTTCATACCTATATAAACAAATTTGTAATTGTGAGGAATGATAATGTCAACAATTAACGAAGTATCTACCTTCGTTTTTCTTGATTTCCCCCTTAACTGTAACAGTCCGGTATATATTATCAGTATTATCATTATGATTATTGATAATATCCATAAATGTTTGTGGGTCTAAATAAGTCTGACTTCTTCTTCCCACTCTGTTTCGAGCAATTGACTGATTTATGTTGTCAAAAATCAAATGCTTCTTATTGCCTTTGTTATATGTCACTATATTGCTCGAAATCAAAATTAATTACTTGATTAATTCATTGATTCAACACACACACACACACAAGCACTTTGAAATCGCAGTTTTCCAAGGTTGAAGAGGGGATGAGCCATCTATCATCAGGACAAACTGATAACACATTCCCTCCTCAGGAATAAGTACAGATGATATTCACTTTATTCTCAAGAGAAAAACTCCCTTGTTGTAGAAAAAGGCCAAATTCAGAGCGTATGGTAAAGAGTTAGTAGGAGATCACAGCAGTTTTCCCTTCACTGAGGGCATGCATGACATCATTGATCACAGGTTAGCTGCTTCTGATTGGCTGAGAGAACATAAACGATTCTGTACATATGGATAGATATGAGGGTAAGTCGACATTAATCAAGATTGTAGGCATCCGAGTCCGTGATTTAGTCCGGAGATGAGGGTCTTCTTCACACTTCTGGTCTTTTCATTCAAAGAGTTCTCTCAAATTCCTCTGAACGCACTTAAAGAAACTGATATTCCCAAATAATCTTTGATCAAGATCGTTTTACGTTCACATAAATTGCATCACATGGTTTTTACTTTACACAAACAGACTGAAAAATTGTAATATTAATTCTGCTACAGTTGATTCTGAAAGCTTTAATGATTTATACATATTTACCTATTTTTCTACATGAATATATACATAAATATTATTACTAAGAAATATGAATACAGTTTGGCACTGGAAACATAAGATCTGATTACTTTATGAAAGTGAGTTATCAAGAAACCAAACCATGGTGGCCTGGCCTTGTAATTTTAATATCACTAAATCCAGATTGCACTGACTACGCCACCTTGTGAATCACACCCAAGGAAATATGAAAGCATCACAGGTTCGGTGGTGCAGTGAAAAGACAGAGTCACGTCATACACCAAAAAATAAATCATTTTATTTGTTTAGGAAAAACATTCCAAAGGCTTCACTTGATTAGGCTATATAAGTCATTGGCATGTTTATTATAACAATACTAAAAATATCACAATATTAAAACAACATTCCTCTAGTCTATAGAGACACATCTGATTAAAGCATTTAA